AATGGAATGGAATGGAATGGAATGGAATGGAATGGAATGGAATGGAACGGGGTGGGGTGGAGTGGAGTGGAGTGGAGTGGAGTGGGGTAGGGTGGGGTGGGGTGGGATGGGATGGGATGGAAAGGAATAACAGACTTGGAAGGGACCTTGGAGGTCTTCTAGTCCAACCCCCTGCTTAGGCAACCGTATAGCATTTCAGACAAATGGTTATCCAATCTCTTCTTTAAAACTTCCAGCGTTGGAGCCTTTACAACTTCTAGAGGCAAGTTGTTCCAATGATTATTAGTTCTAACTGTCAGGAAAATTTCTCCTTAGTTCTAAGTTGCTTCTCTCCTTGATTAGTTTCCATCGATTGCTTCTCATCCTGCCCTCAGGAGCTTTGGAGAATAGCTTGACTCCCTCTTCTTTATGGCAGACCCTCAGATACTGGAACACTGCTATCATGTCACCCCCTGGTCGTCCTTTTCATTAAACGTTTCTCCATGATCCAGGGGCACTGCATCTATCATAAATGTGAGTCAGTGGTCAGATATCCGAATGTAAATCAGTAACCATGAGGATGCTACATCGGTCTTAAGTCTGAAAAATGGTCATAAGTCACTTTTTTTCAGTGCCACTATATCTTTGAGAATGGTCATTAAGCAAACAGAGGTAAGTTGAGGGCAACCTGTATGTAGTAATAGAATGGGGGAAAAACATGCAGATTTTGAATTGCCTAATTATGTGTCGAAGAAGATACGTTGGAATCACTCTAAAGATTCTTGCTGAACTTCTATCTGCATTTGAACTCCAGACTCGGTCTAATGAGGGCCTCTCTGTCTGCCTTTAATTCAGGGCCCATACATCCTCATTCATCTCCAGGGAAATCACTATCCTGTCATTGTCTTTTCTTTGCTATCTGCTATAGAGCAGGCATATCTTCTTCCTGGGCTGAGCCTGAACTCTTTCCTTCCCAACCCAAAGTCCTGCCAAAATCACGCCAAACTGCCAAGGCCTATTTCTGATCCAGACAGTCTGGCCTTAAAGCAGACACCAAATCAGCGAACTTCTACCTTTTTAAGCAAGCTTTCTTTGGTTTGCACTGGGGTCTGCTGACTGATGCTCCCTGATAGTGAGTTGTATCTCAAAATAGATCTTCAAGAACACTAAGATTCTCTGCTTTGAAATACAGTTGGAGCCAGGGAACAATTTATTTTAAAGAGAGCTTTTTTCTCTCTCTGCTTTGCTGAGGTTCCTTCGGTTTCCATCCAGCAGCTGTTTGTATCTGACTGTGCTGTATTTTTGAAACAAAACATTAATATCATGCATCTTTTCTTTCTTTCTTTTTCTTTCCTTCCTTTCTTCCTGTTTCTTTCTTTTCTCTCTCTCCCCCTC